TCAGGTCTCTTAAGTTATGGTTAAAAAAGTTGGTTAAATAAAGATTTAATTTGAAGTCTGTGTTTGTGTTTTTTATTAAAATTAAATCATTTAGCAGTATTATAAAAAGTCCAGGCAGAGCTGCACATAAAATATGGTTTCAAATCTTTTCAATAATTATCGATATCGATCAATATGCATTTTTTTTTATCGATAAGCTTTTTTTCTATATCGCCCAGCCCTACTTAGACATGATGTAGCTCAATAAGCAATGATTTCCAGCTCTTAGAAGGGAATGAAGTATATCTAGTGTTATCGTCTTTTGCAGGGAAACTTTCTCTTTTAAAGTCTGTGTTTGCGATCATGGAGTTTATCCACGACGCAGCATCTCCACAGCATGATCATCCCAGCATGAACATCTTCCATTAAGAAATTCCAAAAAAGTTAAAAAGAAAATCCACTGGACTTTGTTTCCAAGTTTAAAGACATTTCGTTTACCATCCAGGAAGCTTTTTCAATTCAAAATGTCAGAAATAGCGTTAAGTTCCAGGTTTTATCCAGTAGCCTAACAAAGCCTTGTTTTTTTTTGTTTTTTTAGAAAACATGCAAATTGAAACCGGCGAACGGGTCCCCCCCTTTGGAATGGGGGTCATTTGGCTTCTTTTGTTAGCCAGCAATGCCCCATACCTGTCTAGGTCTCTGAAAGGGGAGGTCAGTAGAGGGAATTGCTGGCCTGGCTGAATAGGTGAGGTCTTCTGTGGTCCCTGTAAAGTTTTGGGTTAAGGGTTTGCTTAGGGTGCAGACTGTGGGGATCGAACCGGGAACTTGCAACCTTCCTAGAGCACAAGCGCATTGCTCTAACCACTGGACCAACACCGCTGGACTAAATGACACTGCTCTCAGTTGGTTCAGTTCATATCTCACCAACCGGACAGAATCCATCTCCCTCAGCCGCTCCAAATCAAATCCGCACACAGTTACGTGTGGCGTCCCTCAGGGGTCAGTCCTCGGCCCCATCCTCTTCATCCTTTACCTTACCCCCCTTGGCCAAATCATCATATATCTCATTCCACTGCTATGCTGATGACATACAGCTCTATGTAAATGTCACAGCTGACCCCCCACCCTCCCAGTCATCCCCATCAAAACTCACCACCTGTCTGGAGGAGATAAAGGTATGGATGGAGAAAAACTTTCTTCAACTTAATAGCTCCAAAACCAAAGCCATCCTGG